TTACCATTTTTCACGCATTACTATTCGAACACTCGAACACCAATACGGATTCTCCTGCAGAGTGGCAGATATGTAAATACGGCGTTTACTTACCATTTCTCGTGCATTAGGGTTCGAACACTCAAACACCTATACGGATTCTCCTGCACTGTGGCAGATATGTAAATACGTCGTTTACATACCATTTCTCACGCACTAGGGTTCGAACACTCAAACACCTAAACGGATTCTCTAGCACAGTGGCAGATATCTAAATACGACGTTTACATACCATTTCTCACGCTTTACGGTTCGAACACTCGAACACCTATACGGATTCTCCTGCACAGTGGCAATATGTAAATACGGCGTTTACTTACCATTTCTCGTGCATTAGGGTTCGAACACAAGAACACCTATGCGGATTCTCTTGCACAGTGGCAGATATGTAAATACGGCGTTTACTTACCATTTCTCGTGCATTAGGGTTCGAACACTCGAATACCTATATGGATTCTCCTGCACCGTGGCAGATATGTAACTACGGTGTTCACTTACTATTTCTCACGCATTACGGTTCGAACAATCGAACACCTATACGGATTCTCCTGCACAACGGCAGATATGTAAATATGGCGCTTACATACCATTTCTCACGCATTAGGGTTCGAACACTCGAACACCTAAACGGATTCTCCTGCACAGTGGCAGATATGTTAATACGGCGTTTACTTACCATTTCTCACGCATTAGGGTTCGAACACTCGAGCACCTATACGGATTCTCCTCCACAGTGGCAGATATGTAAATACGGCGTTTACTTACGATTTCTCGTGCATTAGGGTTCGAACAATCGAACACCTATACGGATTATCCTGCAAAGTGACAGATATGTAAATACGGCGTTTACTTACCGTTTGCCGTGCATTACGGTTGGAACACTCGAACACTTATACAGATTCTCCTGCACAGTGGCAGATATGTAAATACGTCGTTTACTTGCCATTTCTCGTGCATTAGGTTTCGAACACACGAACACCTATGCGGATTCTCCGGCACAATGGCAGATATGTGAATACGGCGTTTACTTACCATTTCTCGTGCATTAGGGTTTGAACACTCGAACACCTATACGGATTCTCCTGCATAGTGGCAGATATGTAAATACGGCGTTTACTTACCATTTCTCACGCATTACTATTCGAACACTCGAGCACCTATACGGATTCTCCTGCAGAGTGACAGATATGTAAATACGGCGTTTACTTACCATTTCTCGTGCATTAGGGTTCGAACACTCGAACACCTATGCGGATTCTCCTGCACAGTGGCAGATATGTAAATACGGTGTTTACTTACCATTTCTCACGCATTGGGGTTCGAACACTCGAACACCTACACGGATTCTCCTCCACAGTGGCGGATATGTAAATACGGCGTTTACTTACCATTTCTCGTGCATTAGGGTTCGAACAATCGAGCACCTATACGGATTATCCTGCAAAGTGGCAGATATGTAACTACGGCGTTTACTTACCGTTTGTCGTGCATTAGGGTTGGAACACTCGAACACCTATACTGATTCTCCTGCACAGTGGCAGATATGTAAATACGGCGTTTACTTGCCATTTCTCGTGCATTAGGTTTCGAACACACGAACACCTATGCGGATTCTCTTGCACAGTGGCAGATATGTAAATACGGCGTTTACTTACCATTTCTCATGCATTAGGATTTGAACACTCGAACACCTATATGGATTCTCCTGCATAGTGGCAGATATGTAAATACGGCGTTTACTTACCATTTCTCACGCATTACTATTCCAACACTCGAACACCTATACGGATTCTCCTGCAGAGTGGCAGATATGTAAATACGGCGTTTACTTACCATTTCTTGTGCATTAGGGTTCGAACACTCGAACACCTATACGGATTCTCCTGCACAGTGGCAGATATGTAAATACGTCGTTTACATACCATTTCTCACGCATTAGGGATCGAACACTCGAACACCTAAACGGATTCTCCAGCACAGTGGCAGATATGTAAATACGGCGTTTACATACCATTTCTCACGCATTATGGTTCGAACGCTCGAACATCTACACGGATTCTCCTGCTTAGTGGCAGATATGTAAATACGGCGTTTACTTACCATTTCTCACGCATTAGGGTTCGAACACTCGAACACCTATACGGATTTTCCTCCACAGTGGCAGATATGTAAATACGGCGTTTACTTACCATTTCTCGTGCATTAGGGTTCGAACAATCGAACACCTATACGGATTATCCTGCAAAGTGGCAGATATGTAAATACGGCGTTTATTTACCGTTTCCCATGCATTAGGGTTGGAACACTAGAACACCTATACGGATTCTCCTGTACAGTGGCAGATATGTAAATACGGCCTTTACTTGCCATTTCTCGTGCGTTAGGTTTCGAACACACGAATACCTATGCGGATTCTCCTGCACAGTGGCAGATATTTAAAACGACGTTTACTTACCATTTCTCGTGCATTAGGGTTCGAACACTCGAACACCTATACGGATTCTCCTGCACAGTGGCAGATATGTAAATACGTCGTTTACATACCATTTCTCACGCATTTGGGTTCGAACACTCGAACACCTAAACGGATTCTCCGGCACAGTGGCAGATATGTAAATACAGCGTTTACATACCATTTCTCACGCATTTGGGTTCGAACACTCGAGCACCTATGCGGATTCTTCTGCACAGTGGTAGATATGTAAATAGAGCGTTTACTTACCATGTCTCACGCATTTGGGCTCGAATACTCGAACACCTATACGGATTCTCCAGCACAGTGGCAGATATGTAAATACGACGTTTACTTACCATTTCTCACGCATTAGGGTTCGAACACTCGAACACCTATACGGATTCTCCTCCACTGTGGCAGCTATGTAAATACGGCGTTTACTTACCATTTCTCGTGCATTAGGGTTCGAACACTCGAACACCTGCAGATATGTAAATACGGCGTTTACATACCATTTCTCACGAATTAGGGTTCGAACACTCGAACAGCTATGCAGATTCTGCTTCACAGTGGCAGATATATAAATACAGCGTTTACTTACCATTTCTCACGCATTAGGGTTCGAACACTCGAACACCTATGCGGATTCTCCTGCACAGTGGCAGATATGTAAATACGTCGTTTGCTTACCATTTCTCACGCATTAGGGTTCGAACACTCGAACACCTATACGGATTCTCCTCCACAGTGGCAGATATGTAAATACGGCGTTTACATACCATGTCTCACGCATTATGGTTCGAACACTCGAACACCTAAATGGATTCTCCTACACAGTGGTAGATATGTAAATACGGCGTTTACATCTCATCTCTCATCCATTAGGGTTCGAACACTCGAACACCTAAATGGATTCTCCGGCACAATGGCAGATATGTAAATACAGCGTTTACATACCATTTCTCACGCATTAGGGTTCGAACACTCGAACACCTATGCGGATACTTCTGCACAGTGGCAGATATGTAAATACTGCGTTTACTTACCATTTCTCACGCATTAGGGTTCGAACACTCGAACACCTATACGGATTCTCTTGCATAATGGCAGATATGTAAATACGGCGTTTACTTACCATTTCTCACGCATTAGGGTTCGAACACTCGAACACCTATACGGATTCTCCTCCACAGTGGCAGATATGTAAATACGGCGTTTACTTACCATTTCTCGTGCATTAAAGTTCGAACACTCGAACACCTATACGGATTATCCTGCAAAGTGGCAGATATGTAAATACGGCGTTTACTTACCATTTCCCGTGCATTAGGGTTCGAACACTCGAACACCCGTACGGATTCTCCTGCACAGTGGCAGATATGTAAATACGGCGTTTACATACCATTGCATTTATTAATTGGTATAACTCCAGATTTAATAATAATGTAACAAGGGTATTTGTGAAATTTTACATGGTTAATCTCATTCCTATCTCGCAAAATAAATTGGAACTATTGCTAATCTATTGGTTATCAAATAAATATAATTTTTCTTAACCCCCTTACTAATAATTCCATCCAACCTATCTCTATGTCTGAAAACAAACGGCCCCTAAAGGTATACAAGATAAAATTCTCTGTCTACGTAAACACTTGCCCACGTTTGTTTGACGAATTAAGTTGGATGAGATTGCTAGGGAGATGATGATTAGTTAATAGATTGTTAATGTGAAGATTATTAGTGAGGGGATTAAGTAAAAGTGTGTTTGTTTTGATGATAGTATAAGAGATGATTAGTGATGAGATTGTTAAATTATTTTTATATAAAATAAATAAATAATTTATTTCTATATTAAAAAAATTAGAACAAATATTAAAACAAACAGGTGCATTTGGTATAAAAAAAAAAGAATAATTTTTTTTTATTATATAAAATAGACTCAATCCCTTCACTATTTTCCTAATACTATCCAAAATCCAACCAAGCTAATCCCCTTTATGTGAGGTTATTCATAGTCTCATGAGACTATTAGTCCCATTCTATTTTTGTCAACCAAACATGGGCTATGTAAAACACACAAGATTGATAGTCCAATCCCCCCACCTATGGAGCCAAACAAACATGACTTAAGAGCAATGATTGAGACCCCAACCTCTCACAAGACCCCACAAATTTGAACCACTCAAGATGTGAACCCTACACATATATGAGTGGGTCTCGCACATACATGGATAGTCAGAATCACTTTAATAGTATGGGGTCATCCCCAAAGAGGGTCCCAAATATTTTCCTACAATTAAATTATGGCTATGTTGATAAATTACAGATTTCTTTAGACTTTAATGGCATACAAATTTATCTCTCAAAAAATTATAAAAATCTATATTATATAAACAAAATTGTCTGCTATCTAATTATATTAAACTTTGGGCGGAGTTACCATATTACCTAACCAAGACCCTATCAACTAGAAAATTCTAAGTATAAGCACCCCCTTTTAACGCTCGTTATTTTTGCCTTATCATGCGAAAGAAAGAAGACTAGGGGGAGATGGGGGATTTGGAGAGAAGAGGAGCCACCGAACAAGCCCAGCCAGTCGGACTCTGATCTTGAATATATAAATATATGTGTACTAGTAGTGTGTAGTGTCATCTCTTCTCTCTCTCTTTCTATTTATCTATCTATCTAAATATATATATATATATATATACGTAACGCCCCCTGGTGGATTCGTTTGAAGAGAGAGAGAGAGAGAGAGAATGAGTTATGCTGCGGTTGTGGGACTTCCCTCTCTTGTCAATCCGATGAACTATTCAGACAATAATAATGTCTCTGTTAATACATTTCCCCATAATATTTGAGTCTCTTTTTCTGTATTTAATATACCGAATTTGAGCATATTTTTAAGTGCGTATTTTTTGGGGCAGAATTCAAGGGGGGAGGATCCTAAGCAGTTAATAATAATAGGGGGGAAGCAGCAGCAGCAGCAGCAGCAGCAGCTCACTGTACCTGTACCTGTACCACCAGCTTATAAGTGGCGCATGCTTATATCCTATGACGGTTCTCGATTTTCAGGTTCTTTCCTTACTTAAATCTTGTCTGAATTAATTAGTAACATACATTACGTACATATATAATTCATGTTAATGAAATGGTCCATTCTTTGTGATGGGGATTTTGCTCCTGATCCTGTGCATCATCTGTTCTTCCCTATTTTATGCAAGAGTTGATTTCATTTTGAGGCTAAGTTACTTTGACAAAATGGAATTTTAGTTGTTCTTTTTTGATGGGGATGCTTTGAATTAATGATATTGAGAGTGTTTTAGGCTGTGGCTGTCTTTCTGTGTTCTTCTCTTGAATATTCTTTTCTTCTTGAATCTTGCTTCTTTTCTTTTGGAACCATTCTCCATATTTTTTGGTCTTTGGAATCAATTGAATCGTTGAAGGGATTTCTTAATAGGCGTTCTACATCACTACTCCTTGAACAAGCATCTGTTGTCTTCATTTATTCTCGGTTCTCCAAGGTTGTGGCTGCTGAGATTAGAGTTTTTTGTATGCAAATTCTTGTGAGGGCGGCCTCTACTTGGGAATGCCTTGGTTTGTTTGCGATAGTATTTTCAGGGTTTGAGGGGTTTTTTTCATGATCCAGGTTGGGGCTTCATTCTGATTGCTAGGGTAGTGTTCGTTAGGCTTCTACTTTTCAGTAATTCTTCTTTAATTCTCAATTAAAATATAGGATATAGCACCCTCATTCTCTTATAGACCTTGTGTGTGGCAGTGGCAAACATGAATCAAGTGAATTCTTTTTCTTCTTCTTCTTCCCACTAGTAAGATAACACTACATCTGGCACATAGGTTTGGCTTCTTCAATTCTGCTTTTTTTTTTTTTTTTTTCCTTCGGGCTTACAAAAATGTTTACGATTCCTGAAATAACTCTTGTTTCAAAATTCTATGCTTTCACTTGGTGTTGTCTTGAACGTTATGTATGTTGTTCAGGTTGGCAGTATCAGCGGTCTCCACCAACCATACAATGCATTGTGGAGAAAGCTTTAACCCAAATAACAAAACAAGGACGGAGGGATCTCCATTTAGTTGGTGCAAGTAGGACGGATACTGGAGTCCATGCTTGGGGTCAGGTCTGACTCTTTCTTCATTATGCTTTTTGTGTGGGGATTCTACAAGCATTATCCAACACATAGGATGTGAATTTAAATTGTGTTTAGCTTTCAGGTGGCACACTTTGTTACGCCTTTCAACTATGACAGATTGGAAAGCATTCATGCAGCCCTAAATGGTCTTCTTCCTTCAGATGTCAGAATTAGAGAAATTAGTGCTGCAGTGCCTGAATTTCATGCTCGCTTTTCAGCAAAGAGCAAGGTTTATCACTACAAGATATATAACAATACCATCATGGATCCATTTCAGCGTCAGTATGCTTACCATAGTGTTTATAAACTCAATACCAATGTCATGAGGGAAGCTGCAAAGCATTTCCTTGGGAAGCATGACTTCTCCGCTTTTGTAAATGCATCACGCAATGATCAATCACCAAATCCGGTGAAGAATATTTTCCGCTGTGACGTAACTGAGATGGTAATTGTGAAGCCCAACAGCAATGTACCTCAAGTTAAAAGGGTCGTAGGATTTCTGGGTTTCATCCTATTAGCCCTCCTGTATGAATGGATTAGCAGTTCCACCATAGATTACACATCCTCCCCTATTTTTTGCGATTTTGTTTTTTTGTGTGTTTCTACTAGTGATAGTTTTGAATTTGATGGTTGATTGTGTTGTTTTTTAGGGACCTCTTTTGCAGCTTGAAGTTGAGGGCTCTGGTTTCTTATATAGACAAGTGCGAAACATGGTATGCATTCACAACTACTGATTCAAAGATTCTATCATCTCATTTATCTGCTTTATTACTGCTGTACTATGGTTTATTCTTGGCCTTGTTAAGTTGATTATAGTTGTCATGATCTTGAAGTAATATTTCTTATTGACATTCTAGGAGCTAGCGATAGTGGGGGCATGTGGAACATGATATGTGAATTTTAAACATCATTTTAATAATCTACTTTTTTACAGGTTGCTTTATTGCTGCAAATAGGGAGGGAAGCAATTCCACCAGATATTGTCCCCAGGATTTTGGCAACTCGAGATCGCAAGGAGCTTGCAAAGTATGCTTTATCTGCTCCACCTCATGGTCTGTGTCTTGTAAGTGTCAATTATAATGAAGAACATCTGCAGCTTCCAACAGCTTGCCCTGCAACTAGTTTCGGTAGGCATCATAGCATAAGGAAATGCAAGCTTCCATTTTTTTAAAGGAAATTCATTTGTAAAACTGAAAACTCAGAAGGAAAAAAATCAAAATGCAAGAATTGTGTTTAAAATTCTCCGAGAACTTGCCCTTTTAGCAAGCCAGGTGGCATCGTGTGTCATACGTGATATGCAATAAAGGGATTTATTTCTCTTAATATTAAAATGTTTACATCGTAGCTGAGAGGTACCCTTGCTTGATGGAGCTCTACTCTGCAGCTTAAACATTTAGATGAAGTTTTTTAATGTTGAAAAGTTGCATATAGGTGTGAACTCGTGGTGGCATGGTGCAATATATGAACTACTTGGAACTTCAGAAGTGATAAAATGGCTGTTGTTCTGCTTGTGAGGAACCACTGTCTAGTCTGATTTGAGCAGGAGGAAACAAACATTTATCAGACCATCCGTCAAGATAACAGCTATGACTATCTGATCAAAGATACCACCCACCCAAGTATGAAAGGAAAACAAGCAAACCTCATACACACCCTTTCACAAGTATCAGTATCTAGTATTTGGTTGCCAAAACAGCAGCTGGGCAAATTTAAAAATATCACCTTTGCTATTTCTTTTCCATTCAACACACATTGCACAGAAAATTAGTAGTAATTTCCAACATGACATGACAAAATACAATGTTGCAGCAAAAATGAATATCCAAGCCTGTAAAAAGGCAGGACTGTATTGCATATACCAGAAATTGCATAATTCAAAACCACCACTCCAGTTAACCGCTGCATCGACTTGTTAGATGGTGAACGGAGTGGATAGAGATATCTGCATGGACAGTGTCTTCCTTGAAAGCAGAAAACACTAAGGCCATGTTTGTTTGGGTGGACATGAGCTTGGGATTGGACTAATAGTCTAATAAAATTATTAATCCGATGTTTGGTTAAACAATTGAAATACGGACTAATTATTTTAAACTTGACTATTAGTTAAGATAGGATATATAATCCAACGGATTCGTAGTCCTAGGACTATTAGTCCTGGGAATGCTAATCCAGTCCGCCTAAACAAACATGGCCTAAAAGGTAGGGGGAGAAAAGAAAAGCAACTGAAATGATAACAAACTGAAGAAACATGATTTATGTCTCAAAAAAGCGAAGCTCTATCATAAACTCTTGCTGCTTCGGGGAATACCAAGCCACAGCCTTTGCTGACCCAAGAACTTGCAATGCATATTCAATTGCAAACACAGGATCATTCACACTTACATGCCAGCCACTGTTCTTGTAATTGAGTGCCACTCCTGAATCAACTCGGAAACTAAAGGCCCGGCAATCTGCATTTAAGTATATGTAAGATGTCATAACTGATCCCCAAATTGATATTAATTCATACTGAACATGATGATGCAAACAAAAATTTGAAGTATTCCCAATCAAATACTACCACAGAATCAATTTGAGATTCATGAGCTCTGATACCAAGACAATTTCTTAAATGGTTAAAATTATAACACAAATTTCATCATAATTTCAGACAAGGCACAGAACTCAGAAAGGGAGACTTAAATTTTCCTTGGCAATCTAAAAAACAGGAGACTTAAATTTTCCTTGGCAATCAAAAACACAAAGTGCAAAGGAGGTCAGTTCAGTACTGAAACCTTAACAACTACATAGAAAAATACAGTGCTAACTCAGAATGAATGCCTTCTGTTTGATTCGAAGCCAAAACCCTGTTTGGGAACCCCTGTTGCCCACAATATCAAGGTTCAAATTCAACACCTCCAAAGTACAGAATCATGTCTCAAATTAATTAAATTAACAACAAGAAACATACAGAAGCATATTTGAAACTGCAATTTAAGTTTGATACAGAGAAGGAACAAACTAGAGCGCGATATCCAATCGATACTATTGCCTTTTCCACTCACTTCTCAGTGTCAATTTTATTTACAATATTATAGCATAAAAAACAAACATGGGAGGTTGGCAGAAAAAGTAGGTACCTGTTGCTGAAGTGAAAGGGTGGCTTTGGGACAAATTGCCTGAATTGCTTGTAAAGATCTTGAGCCAGATGAGTGGCGCCTGAAATAAATTTTGAGCCAGAAGGAAAACCCACGCGGGCGTAAAATCGAGTAAGATCTAGGAATAACCTTTGGAAGTTTCCATACTGCACAGAAAGTGAAATGGATGCAAATATATCAGCCAAAATAGTAGAATTTACTACTGGAGCACGAAGAGTTAGGCCCTTAAAAGGCAGTGAATCTTCTCCTCGTCATCTGACTAAATTATCTCCAATACATGCCGTTAGAGCAGCACCTGTAAAGATAATCATGCAAACAATAAGGGTTCAAAATATCAGGTAAAAGGGAAATGTATGTCAATTTAGCAGACTATGATAATGACTATAAGCAATTGATTGTTGTGGGCATTTATATCATGCCTAGTACGTGACGAGTCCCACAGGCATCACGTCTTCTCCACCGTCACCTCTACGTAGTAGCGACTCTAGAAATTTTTTCTAATGGGGTCAATGAAAAATTTAAGCAAAACAAATTCTAAAAAAAAAAATAATAATAATTTACATATATATCATCTATTTCCATTAAGTTGATAAAGAATTTAAAATTTCAAACCACAAAAAAATTAAAACTCCAATGCATTCATACGAATGCTTTTTCAAAAAGTTACAAGTACATAAACTTCTATAACTACCCTCAGCAAGGTGTTTTATTTTGCCTCAAATTATTTTGCTTTATTTATAATGGAAATTCTATAATACACATCACAAAAAGGGGTGTACCATTTGTTTAGTTACAACTTTTGTGATATTACTCATTACGGTGTTGGTTATAACTCATTGTAGTATTGGTTATGACTTAGTTATAACCATTTGTGGTTGTTATTTTGGTTGTGATTGAAAAGAGATTTTTTGTTATGCCTCAAGTGGTGTTTGGTTATTATTTATTGTGGTGTTGGTTACAACTTGGCTATGACACATTGTCGTATTGGTTATGACCTATCACGGTTGTTATTTTGGTTAGGACTACAGAAGTCTTTGGTTATGCCTCAAAGGGTGTTCAGTTATGATCCATTGTGGTCTAGGAAGCACGGATACTCCAAAATGGCCCCTGTACGTGTATCGGATACGGATACACATCCGATATATGTATCAGATACGGCAAAAAAGTATCCCATTTTTTTTTTAATTTTTTGAATTTTGGATACGTTTGGGATACGCCAGGATACTTCAAGGATACGCTTGGGATACTTTCGGGATACGGTGGGGCAGAAAAATAATTTTGAAACTTATAATTGGGGTCAAAGTGTAAAATAACAAAACTATATCTAAAATAAAACCAAAAAAAATCAAACAAACCCTACCTAGAGGAGTCATCGAACAGCAGCAAGTCACTGTCCTCGTCATCGTCGTCAATTAAGGTTCATCACTCTCACTCTCATTCTCTCTCGCTCTCTCTCTGTCGCTCGATCTCACACACTTTCTCTCTCTCGCTCGATCTGTCTAAATTATTTTGCTTTATTTATAACGGAAATTCTATAATACACATCACAAAAAGGGGTGTACCATTTGTTTAGTTACAACTTTTGTGATATTACTCATTACGGTGTTGGTTATAACTCATTGTAGTATTGGTTATGACTTAGTTATAACCATTTGTGGTTGTTATTTTGGTTGTGATTGAAAAGAGATTTTTTGTTATGCCTCAAGTGGTGTTTGGTTATGATTTATTGTGGTGTTGGTTACAACTTGGCAATGACACATTGTCGTACTGGTTATGACCTATCACGGTTGTTATTTTGGTTAGGACTGCAGAAGTCTTTGGTTATGCCTCAAAGGGTGTTCAGTTATGATCCATTGTGGTCTAGGAAGCACGGATACTCCAAAATGGCCCCTGTACGTGTATCGGATACGGATACACATCCGATATATGTATTAGATACGGCAAAGAAGTATTCTATTTTTTTTTTAATTTTTTGAATTTTGGATACGTTTGGGATACGCCAGGATACTTCAAGGATACGCTTGGGATACTTTCGGGATACGGTGGGGTAGAAAAATAATTTTGAAACTCATAATTGGGGTCAAAGTGTAAAATAACAAAACTATATCTAAAATAAAACCAAAAAAAATCAAACAAACCCTACCTAGAGGAGTCATCGAACAGCAGCAAGTCACTGTCCTCGTCATCGTCGTCAATTAAGGTTCATCACTCTCACTCTCATTCTCTCTCGCTCTCTCTCTGTCGCTCGATCTCACACACTTTCTCTCTCTCGCTCGATCTGTCTCTCCCTCTCTCTCGCTCGATCTCACTCACTCTCTCTCTCTCTCTCTCTCCCTCTCGCTCAATCTCACTACATATTTGGGAAGAAAATAAGCAAAACATGAATTGAAGCATAAAAGTTATGATCCGATATCCAAAATTTTAAAATAGAACCACTTTTGAGGAATGTAGTAGCCTTAGGAAGTACTTTCTAAGTCTTGAAAAGAGTAATGTGAGAGCAGGGCTTTGAATTATTGCCATATTATAATATTTTAATTCAGTTTTTCGGTTTTATGTGTATACATACTTCATTACTAAACATTATGAAAATAATATTTTTTATGAACGTATCCCAGCCATGCCCGTATCTTAGTTTTTCACATTTTGCCGTATCACCGTATCTGTATCCGTATCGTATCATACCCGTATCCGTGCTTCCTAGATTGTGGTCAAGGGCGTAGCTATGTGTCGTTTAGTGGGTTCAATTGAACCCACTGAACTTTCAAATTGTTCCCACTGAACTTTCAAATTGTTTTAGGAATATATAGTATTATGTAAATTTTTTGAGAGGTTTTTATAAATCGACACCACTAAAATTGTTAAAAGTAAATAATATGGTGTCAAAAATAATTTATAAACATAAAGTTTATACAAAAAACACATCTAAAATGATATGTTAATAATATTTTTGAAATTATGAAAACAATAGTGGATGTTTTGATTGAAAATAAAAGGGCAATAAGAAATAATGTCATTTTGTATAAAACTTTTGTTTATATATCATTTCTTTTTTTTTTTTTTTAAATCTTTTAAAGTAGAACTTAGTTGAGAGTTTACCTTCTTTTTAGACATGAGATTCTTATGTGTTTACGGATTTTTTCCCCTCACATTAAGGCTTATTTTGTCCTCTATTTTTTTTTTTCAATCAATATATATACAATGTTATTGTTGTGAATATAATAAGTTTTGTAGAATTAAAATTATGAAATAATGATATCGATGATACCATTGAAATAAATTTTTGGCCATGCCATTGATTGTTGTCCTTTTGATTATAACCAAAAATGGTTTGGTTATGACACAAAATGGTATCAAAATTACAAAAGGTCATAATTTACATACAATACACAACAAAATAGTGGCGTGTATTATTGTATAAACTCCCTATTTATAAGACTCTTTAAAATAAATGTGTATATATAAATTTTTTCTTAATGAAATCTTTAAGTCCAGTGGGTGACCCCGCGAAAACGCATGCAACGTTGCCAGTACCTCTAAGTGGCAGACCACTGAAGCACCACGATGTCATGATTGGACTAACTGGAGTTACATACTTAGCCTAAGCAAGGCATATACACCACCAAGTATGGCTGCTAGGCTCACTAGCATAGTTACCTCTCTAACAAGCCAAAGCACCGTAGTGAATGAGTCAAATTATGAAGAGCTCGATGTACTGCTCGCAGCACTACAAGTCAGAACCAAACTCACCCACTTAGCTATAGTCGACTCGTCAATGCCACAGTTTGCCCGAACGAGCCTCTGCTTAGCCATGGGCTTTCATACCTCATTCTCATTGAGTACATTGAGGAGCGATCAGGAGCATCGCTCGAACCCAAGCATGTCTCCACTCAGTCACTCCTACTCGACAACATCATAGCCCAGCCCTTTGCTCGCTTATATCTCCCCTATGAACTCACTCCCTTAGTTGGGATCTATGTTACATGAACTCGGGTACGAGTATCGGGCGCAGGTTATGGGTATAGAGACACGTCATATGCACATATATATTGCATATTATATAATATTCTCAAATGAGATGTTGTAAATTATGTAGAAATATACTAAAAATTAAATAGGATTTAAAGAAAATATAAAATTTCTATATCTAATTCATGTGAGGCTAAAAATATTGCTCTCCTAATAAATGTAAGTTTCTTCTTCTTCATGTATTGTCACAAATTAACGGATCTGAGTGTCTAAATTGAGTACGAGTGTCGGACACATATCCCACACCCTTACTCATGTCATATCCGGTGGACATGGGTACTTTGGGGGAAATAGAAGAGTCCATGTAACACAGGTTGGGATTACTTACTACATACTGCTATCATAGTTATCACTTGGTATCCTAGGCTAGAAGCAGGGTCCACACATTCACTACTTGGATTATTGAAGGATTGTGAATTGGAAGCTAGGATCATGGGTTTGTCAAGGTTGCTTGGTTGTCTCCCAAGGGAAGAGAAAATATAAAATTTCTATATCTAATTCATGTGAGAGGCTAAAAATATTGCTCTCCTAATAAATGTAAGTTTCTTCTTCTTCATGTATTGTCACAAATTAAAGGATTTGAGTGTCTAAATTGAGTACGAGTGTCGGACACATATCCCACACCCTTACTCATGTCATATCCGGTGGACATGGGTACTTTGGGGGAAATAGAAGAGTCCATGTAACACAGGTTGGGATTACTTACTACATACTGCTATCATAGTTATCACTTGGTATCCTAGGCTAGAAGCAGGGTCCACACATTCACTACTTGGATTATTGAAGGATTGTGAATTGGAAGCTAGGATCATGGGTTTGTCAAGGTTGCTTGGTTGTCTCCCAAGGGAAGACAACTCCTTGATTAGTCTTAGAGAGAGAGAACATTGACCTAACACTCACGGATGCATCACGTGATGAGCCATGATACACATATCCCTACCTCTGTAGCTCCTATGATACAACCTTCCCGAGGTCTAAATCATATAATGCACGGATAGACCTAATACCTCTACTCTGTTGAGTCAAGGAGAACTGGCCACCTATCCATAGGTGACATGAGCTCCAAGGTGCTTGCTTGGCCTATAAAATTGGTATCTATGCACACAGTCAAACACAACAACTTAACACACAACAATCATATATCTCCCATAACTCAGGTGTCTAAGGTCTCTCAAAAACTATGTGCCAAACCAATGCACACATAGAATTGTAGCAAGTATTCTAAGCCACTACAAACAGAAAGCTAAAATGGTATCATACTATTCCTCATAAAAGCAAATACCTCAACCAAATGCAAGTATTTTTTTGATAGGTGACAATATTAATTAGCCGAAAAAAAAGAAGAAAAAAAAGAAGAGAAATACAAGAAAATGGAAGACAAGAAGTCCACTAAAGAAAACAAAAGAGAAGAAAAAGGAAAATTGAATCAACATAACAAACTACAAGTGACACATCGTCCTCCAATCCCTAGAAATAAAAAATAAACGAATCCCCTTTAAAAGAGAGGAAATTGAAGCCTAAAAAGAGGATAGAAAACACACTCTATCCCAAAGCGAATTAATGTTCTTGACTTTGTCCTCAAAGACCTTAGCGTTAGAGGTGTTCATAGATAGGTTCGACTCGAGTTTACCCTTGGTCTACAAGTTGGACTGACACCATCAGGTTAGGAAATCACTCAACTGTTCTCAATCGATTTATTGTTCAAAATCAACCAACCAAACATACTCAATTTGGCAGTCAATTTGGTCAATTTCAAAGAACTATTAAAGAAAGAGGGCGAGCGAAAAAATGGAGAAAATGGGATTGAAAGTTCAAAATCAAAATAATAAATCTCAAACAAATTTATGAGAGAAAAAGATGGAGGGAAAAAATGGGGAAAAAATGGAAAAGAGTGGAAACTCAGCATGCCACTAGCATTGCCATTGTTGATAGCCACCGCCATTGCTCATCGTTGCCGCTGACATCACTCATTGACATCTCCACAGTTTGTAACCAACATCATTCGCCACCAATGAAAAGAGGAAAATGAAATATCGAAGAGGAGAGACGAGAGAGACACAAAGATGGGAGAGACTAAGGCCATGTTTGTTTGGGCGGACTGGATTATCATTCCCATGACTAATAGTCCTAGGATTACGAATTCGTTGGAATTACACTAATGGTCCCTATAGTTTGGAATTTGTATAACTTTGATCCCTGACTTTTCAATTGTGACACCTGACTCGACATTTCTGATGATGCAATTTTATTCTACTTATGGGATTAGGCTTTTTGTCTGCACAATTAGCAAGTTTGTTCTATTTTTTTTGGTGGTTTCAGAATATTAGCAATTCAAAGCTTTTGGTCGAAAATATCTAAATATGGGACAGCTGGAGGTTGTGTGGAACAGCTGGAGATGAAATATCTTCAAAACATCTGAGTTTGGGTCTCAAACCATAATTCTCTTAGTGGAGTAGGCATATGCACATACAGAACTATGTGTTTCACAGAAAGAATACAAGTAATTGGGTGGGATGATATAAATGCATACCTTTACACCTCCAAAAAGTCTCTCTCCCAAAATCCTAACAAAACCCATGATAGTGGAACCTTCCAAAATTAGTGAAAAAAATTTGTGGTGATTTTCACCACTTTTTCATTCCTCTCTCTCTCTAAAACTTTTCAAAAATTTAGATCTTGAGTTTCTCTCTCTAAAACTCATCTTCTCTCTACTATTTCACCTAGATCCATTAGGATCTTCACCCTCCTATCTTAACTAATAGTCAAGTTTAAAATAATTAGTCCGTATTTCAATTGTTTAACCAAACATCGGATTAATAATTTTATTAGACTATTAGTCAAATCCCAAGTTCATATCCACCCAAACAAACATGGCTTAAGAGATTAAACAACATGTGTCTACGAGGCTTAGAGAGAGAAACGAGACACCTAATGAGAGAGAGCATCTGTGTTATGGGGATTAGGTTTGTTCTTGGAAGTTGGAATGTGAGAGAAAGAGAAATGAGACACCGATGAGAGAGGGCCAATTTCTCTGTTTGGAGCGTTTTCAAAATTTTAGTCCCACTTTAGGATGTGTTTTTATCTTTATTTCTAAAGTAGGGTAAAACGGTTTTTGTAATGTCGTTTTTCAGAAAACGGTTTTTGAAAAACCGTATTCATCGATTAAAATAATAATAAAATTTGAAAATAGAAACCGGCTTTTCTAAAGCCGTTTTTAATTAAGTTTTTAATTAATTCTGAATTAATCAAAAATGGTTTTGGTAAAACCGTTTTTCACATTAATTTTTTTGTAATTTATATTTTCAATATAAATATTTTTTGTTCAAAATTTTTTTTTAATAGAAACCGGTTTTAAGAAAGCCGTTTTTTGACAAATTTTTATTTTAATTAAAAACAGAGCAAGAAAAGCCGTTTCATTATACACAAAACCTCCCCTTCTCCCTTGCACTTACGAAAGCCGTATTTGACCCATCTTCTTCTCCCTCACTCAGCCGAACTCCGAAGGAAGACCGACGACGAACAACGCAGGAAGACCGACGACGAACAACGGCCAAGAGTAACCACCGACAAAACGAGGAACACCTGCATCAAACACCCATATTCAGGTTTGTATCGCATAAATTAGGGTTTTCATTTTAGATTTGGGATTTTAAATTTCGAAATTAGGGATTCAGATTTCGGATTTTATATTTCGAAATGAGGGTTTGTAAACTTTTCATTCAACAATGCAGGAATTTTTTGTATAAATTCTACGTTGTTTGCAAACCCCTTTCTCTCGTCAATTGCTTCATTAGTTGTGGATAGAACCATTATTTTCATTCACCCTCCGTTTGGCTTCTTGGAAAACCCACGAGAAAGAAAAGGAAAAGATCAAGATTTCCATTCTTTTGCTTGCTAATATGTTTACTTGAGTGGGCTTTATTTATTTTATTTATTTTTCTGTTCTTCTTGTTCTTTTTTATGTTAATTTTTTGTATACTATACTTGAATTTTTTTCTTATTTTCTCATATTTTCTCTGCAATCTAACACAGCATATCTGTATTTTTTAGCTGTTTAGTTAGAGGATTAACCAATTTCATGTGTCATTACTTTGTCTGGACTATCATTAATTAAACTTGTTAATAATGTCTACTTAACTTCTCAAGGAAAACCTAAAATTTCCCATAATTTCTATTTAAAGTTGCTACTTTCTTTTTTGAACTTGTATTTTCTTTTTTCCCCAATTGTCACATGGCTGCTCCAATGAAGCATTTCTAGAAAAGGGAACCATCACCATTTTTAATAGCTTTTTGGTTTTTAATTTTGTTTGATGAGCTTATATGGTTTCTTCTGTCTATGAATTTTGAGTTAATTTTGGGGTGATAGATAAGTTTTGATTGCTTTCTTGTTTTGAGTATGCCTTTGGCATGTAATAATATTCCCAAAATTGCTTTGTTTGTTTGTGTCTGTGTGTGTGTAGAGAGTCTTGTTATCCCATGATTTGACGCATCCCTTGAAATGTGCTAATTTTTTGTATCAATGGTGAGGTTTTGGTTATATGCAACTTATTGTTTGCTGAGTTTTCACAAAACATCATAGTGTTTTATTTTTCTTTTACAAATACTATGATCTCCAAAATTTTATAGGAATTGCTATTCTTCTGTTGATATTAATGCCTCTTGTCTACTAAATCCGTTGCTGTCTGAAAAGTTACCTAGATTGTTCAAGTGGTTGATATTAAAGAGCTAGGTGTTATTGACTTTATTGCATGTACTGCAGTCTGCATGTACAGTCCTGAGATGTTAATGTGTGAGGAACAATCTTCTATAGGAAATCTTAATTTGTTATGCTCAATTGCTAAGCTCTATCTACTAATTAATGAGATTTTCTTTTTCTTTTATGTTCCAACATAATGATAGTGAACTTGGTTACCGTTACTAGTTTTCCATGCTATTTCTTCTAACCTCAAGTTGATAGATATTAGGTTCACTGATTTTGACCTTTATAGTTATTAATAATGATTATGATTTTAATGGATTGGAGAAGTTAAAATGATTTATTGAGGACCAAATAACGAATCAATACTCAAGTCCTCAACCAACTATTGATGAGATCATGGATTTGATCGGTACAGAGCACACCAAACAAGTTTGTGGATTCAATTAGAGTTGTTTTGTAAGTTTGTAATTTATATATTTGTTTCTTTATAGTGGATTGGCTGATTGGACTAGGTCCTGTGGTCTTTTCCAGATGGGTTTTCCATGTTAAAATTCATGAGTCTCTGTTTGTGTGATTGATTTATTTTATGCTTGCAATTTACATTGAATGATTAAATTAATTAACCAAACACCACCAAAGCAATCCATATCAACGAATAAAATTTTTGATTTTTATTTTTGGGTTTTCCATTTTTTTTTGTCTTCATTTACTATTTTTTGATTTTTTAAAGATTTTAATTAAAAATCTATTTATTTTGATGCACCTAATATAAATATACTTAAAATTTTAATATTTATGAGAATCTGAAAAAAATTTCACTAAAAAATAAAAAATATGAAAAACTGCTTATTTTTCTTATTTTTATTTTATTTTTAGTAAGCTTTTTTTTTTTCTTTTTTTCTTTGTTTGTTGTTAATTTTGGCTAGTACTTTGTTTCGGTGTACTGTATGGGTGTGCATATGTGATGTCAAACTTGGGTTATAAATTGATGTTAAAGAAATCAAATGTTGTTATTAAAATGTGCTAATTTTCCCGTCTTCTCTAATAGGATCAAAATTTTGTTTCCGTACATTCTTTCGATTAGGTTGGAAATGAAAATAGAATTGGAAACTTTTCAAACTTTTCGAAATCATGAGAAATAACAAAAGGATTTGAAAGTGTATGAAAATATTTAGGAAAAAAAAAAACTTTTATTGATGTTAATAAATTCTCAATAGTAAATTACTTGAACATAAATTCTCAAAAGACCCATGCCTAAAGGCACTACTATGTAATATATGTGGTGTTGGCTCTCAAATGTTCTTACTTTATTATTTAGAAATAATTGAGTTACTTTGAATGCAAAGTGTAGGTATGGAAGTTGTGAGCATTATGTTCTATTGGGGTGGAAAGATTTTGCGCAATCGCGATGAAGGTGTGTCGTACGATATCGAACCTCAGGGGTTGTATAATGTGCATAGGGGGATAACATTGGCCGAGTTGCAGGCTATGATGGTGCCGAAGGTTGGTACGCATGGGGAAATAATGCGATTAGAGTTTAAATGTAGACTCCCATGTCGGGGGAAGTATAGGTTGCTGCCAGTCAAAGATAATGAGACCTTAAGTAATGTGTTAGAGCTCCCACATAAATTAGGCCCTGATTATTTTTTGGAAATCTATGTGGAGAATGAGAGCAATTTTGGTGGCACAGAGATGCCAATTCCGGTGGGTGGGACATTCACTCAAATGTTGACACAATCGCAATCCCCTGACAATACACTTATACAGTCTGCACACATGTTCCCTGAAGATTACCCACCATTCAATCATTCTCAGAGTTACAATCAATTAAATGCATCATAGAACCTAGATGGTTATTACAGTGCCAGAGCAGGTCCAAGTGCTCCGACAACGTATAATCTGATGGTTCTTACAACCCCATATCCCCACTGGAATGAAGAATGTCCACCGGTTTGTAATGTTCAACGTACATCGGAGACGGCTGTACAAAATTATGCATACTCCGATGATACAGTGCCATTGTTTGACGAGGTTGGAGTAAGTGATGAAGATTCCGTGGAAGATTTGGATGGCGCATGGGAAGGTGCGGACAATGACTCCGGTGATGACGAAGTTGGAGGGCATCATGATATGCAGGAGGTACACACAAATGTCCATATCCCTTTCTACCATAATTTGTATTTTGACAATGATGGTTCCATCACTAGCCGTGATGTTGTCGAACGTTGGCCATTGTGGGACTTTGAAACTGCTAATTTGGAGAAAGGAATGATATTTGCTGATAAGAAAAGACTAGTGCACGCTGTTCAATTGTATAACCTGAAGCGCAATCGAGAATGCAAGGTCGTAGAATCCAAAGGAAACAGTTGGGTGGCCGAGTGCAAGCACGGCTGCAACTGGAGGGTTCGGGCAACGAAGTTGAAAGACAAAGATTTCTTTCAAATTAGAAGGTTCGAAGCGCCGCATCAGTGTGTATACCCTAGAATGAATAGGGACAATTGCAACCTCAAGTCCGAGGTCATTGCTCATTTCATCAAGGCACAAATTGCGGTAAGTGCCATGCTAGATACATTATTGTTTTTAGGATTTCATTATGACTGTAATGTATTCAAATATAATGTATATTTGTAGATATCACCAGAATTGCCTCTTGCTACCATAATTGAGGTCGTGAAGGAGAAGTTTCAGTTCACTATATCATATAAGAAAGTGTGGCTTGCAAGGACGAAGGCAGTTGCAATGGTGTTTAGTGACTGGGACAAGTCGTACCGAAGGTTGCCTAGATATATGGCTGCATTGCAGGCATTCAATCCAGGCACAGTTGTCATGTGGGACATGATTCCGAATTTGCACTCTACCTCAATTGGAACTTAAATGTACATGAACTATGTATTCTGGGCATTTAAACCTACAATAGAAGGCTTCAAGTATTGTCGTCCAGTGATATGCATTGACGGCACACACTTGTACGGGAAATACGAAGGGAAGATTATTGCGGCCACTGCAGTGACTGTTGCGGACAAGATTGTACCTCTTGCCTTTGCCGTTGTTGACAAGGAGATGATCGAGAGTTGGGGTTGGTTCATTACTCTACTTAGGCGACATGTGTGCCGTGACCGAGAGGGGGTCACATTGATATCCGATCGACACACAGCTTTGCTTAGTGTCGTGTCAAGAATTTGGGACAATCCAGCAGTTCAACCAAGAGGATACCATAGGTATTGCTTGCGACACGTATGTAGCAATTTCAATGAAAGATTCGGCAATATAGTAGCGAAGGATCTTGTGTGGAGAGCTGGTTCTGCACGGCAAGTGCAGAAGTTTAACAAGATTATGGACGATATCTACAAGCTCGAGAAGAATGCTGAACGGTGGTTTAGACGGATGGACCCTATTCATTGGACATTGTGCCATGATGGTGGTTGTCGTTGGGGCATATTGACGACAAACCATATAGAGGGCTTCAATGGTGTACTGAAAGGCGCACGCAGTGTTCCCATTGCAGCATCAGTTGAGATAACTTTTTATCGGCTTGTGAAATATTTTGATGAGGGCAGGACCATTGTTGAAAATGCGAGCCATCGGGGTCACTTGTACACGGCTAATGTTCAATGATGGATTGACGAGCACCAAGCTAAAGCGAATGTGCATATGTTGGTACCGATTAATAGGTAATTTTTATTGGATGCGCCGAATTCACTACACATTAACATTTTGCACTCGTCGATCATTGATGTTAGTCAATATTTAAACATATATGCATATTAATCCACGTACATACAATTTTCCTGTAGGGGAATAGGGGAATATGAGGTGAGGACAGCACCGCATGGGATGGGGGGTGGTGCTCGTCAAATAGTTAGTCTCCGACCACCGAGTTGTTCATGTGGGAAGTACACATTATTTCACTTGCCATGTTCCCACATGCTTGCTGTGACAGCAGATTTGGGCGAGGACCCTTTTCCTTTCGTTGCACCAGAGTATAGGTTGGAAGTCCACAAGCGTATCTTCGCGCAGAAGTTTAGGCCCATGCCGCACGAGCACTATTGGCCTGACAATGATTACCCAACTTTGTTTGCGATTCCAGCTCGACAACGTGAAGTTAAAACGGGTCGTCCTCAACATAGCTGCATACACAACGAAATGGATACTTCCAGACAAAGTGGATTGCACCATTGTAGTTTGTGTTTGCAAAGAGGGCATGATAAGAGAAAATGTCCAGCGAGAATCCGATCGATTCGACAATAGTTGTTTGTCTTCTTTATATATTAGTTCCACGCTACTTTCTTTGAATTGGAGTCAATGTAATATTCAATGAATCAGCATTCAGTAAATTCATAATGTATTTACGACTTCAATTACTAATGACATAGATTTCGTCATTAGTAACAAATCTCTTTAATTGCTTTAGTTGTTGCAAGTGTCCTTTGTGCACTGGACTGTGCAGACTTTGGTGCGTTGATGGTCGATTGTGTCCTGACCTCGATGGACACCAGTTTATCTAATGTTAGAAAAATGCAAATATTCACAGAATGAATTGATAATCACCAATATAAATGCAGTTTATATTCAATGTGTGTTTTGCCACATTTTGTTATGTGGGAAATTAATTTTTTTTAAATCTTTTTTCCAAAATCCATTACGTGGGTGAAGGCCCATTTTATGAATTCAATCATTTCTCAGACATTTACTATGTATTCGTATATGCTTAGTTCTTGTAAAAAGTTTGACTAATGTATTTCAAATCTACATAAAACTCTCTTCAAACCTTTGTACTTCTTTCCTATCCAAATGGCAACTCCTTTAAAGTGAAAGCACGTTTTTTCATGTCACACAGGTTGACGTGACAACACACTGACAATAACTTTAATCACATAGGTACCGTGTGAACCTTATCTCCTATAACAATAATGTCAAATGAATTACTAATCACCAATATAAATGCATGTCATATTTAATGCGTTGCCACATTTTGTTACGTCGTGAATTGTTTTTTTAGTTTCCAAACATTCATTACGTGAGGGAAGACCATTTTATCAATTCAATCATGTGTCTTAAATTTAGTACATATTGGTAAATGCTTAGTTGTTCTAAAAAGTTTGAGTAATGGATTTGAAATCTACTTAAAGCATGGGCTTTCATGTCATAATTTTTGCGTCACAATGCGCTGACAATATCTTTAAACTCACAGGCACCATGTGTACCTTATCTCCTATCACAATAATGTGAAATGAATTACTAATCACCAATATAAATGCATCTAATATTCACATGCGTAGCCACATTTTGTTAGGTGGTGAACTATTTTTTAGTTATCAAGAAATTTTTCCAGGCAACCCTTTTTTTTTTTTCCCTAACTTGTTGCAATTTGTATGCCTGTGATATACTGTCAGGTCGTATTCTAATTTTGTCAGCATATGTATGTACTATTGTCAAACATCTTGTTATCAGACATCGATTTCATATATGAAAACTTGTGCAGGTCTATGACTCATTAGCAGAGGAGATCCCATTATTGACTCATCAGCATCGAGCCGATACGATATGGCGTCAGTCGTATGAATTATTTACTTGTAATCGATATTTGAATACTACACAAACACTGTAGTTGTTACATAATATAATGTGAACTGTAAATGTTAGTCCATGGATCATCCTATTTGGACATTTCAATGGTTTAGACAAATTTCCCCAACTGTAAACATTAGTCCATAGAGAGAGAACGAAGAATATTATATTAAATGGACCGCTAGCTTAACCAAAAAAAAAAGGTTAAAAAGTTGATAATCATCAAGTTTAACAATTACCCCAAGTTCACGCTTATGATATTAATGGACTAGAGTATCGAAGAAAGTTGATAATCATCGATTAGAGTTTAGAGTTTAGAACACAACAATATCAAATTATTGACAACGTGAGTATTTTAGATGTTCGTTACTTAAAATATTTAACTTATTTCATACTACAACAACTTGCATTAATATAGTTCGAGCGACATTTTTCATTTCAAAATAAAGGACTTTAAACTCTTCAAAATATATTCATTATATGTTATATTAGTCTGTAATATTTCATTGTATTCATTTGATCCCCAACTTATTTAATTCTTATCTCAATGATGAAATGACGGCTTAGTTATATTTTATGCCCTTCTAATTTAACTAAAAACCACATAAACCCCCATTGCACTCTACAATAAAGGAAACAACCCAACTTCGTTAACAGGTGTACCAAACATTCTAGAACTTATATTAGGTTTGATGGAGCCTTTTATTTGTATGTCATGACACTGCAAATCTGTGTCTGTATGTATTTATCTTTGTACATTTACACCACTTACGCACTATGCACCACTAAAATGTTGGTTATCTCACCCACTGTTTCAGTTAATAGAAGATGGGTTCATTATGAAATTTCAATTGTCATTTGTACAAGCATTATGTCTCTTACACACAACGTTGTCTTGTGCAGGCGAAAGATCAGCCGAAATTGAAATGCCGACGATCTGATTCCAACATATGGGACACCGCCTTGGACCATAGAGTCCTACGTTGCCTACGCCGTGCGGGGTTCTACGGGGTGTATCGGATTGGGCCTATTCGATTGGACCACCATCTCGTTACAACTCTCGTAGAGAGGTGGCGCATAGAGACGCGCACATTTCATTTTCCTGTTGGAGAGTCCACAGTTACATTACAAGATGTGGCTATTCTATTTGGCCTACCAGTTGACGGACACGCAGTCACTGGAAAAGACCCAGGAAAGAAGTTGGATGATTTGATAGCGCTATGTGTGGAGTTGTTAGGAGCAGCACCTACAGTGGAAGACTTCATAGGTTCATCGCTTAAGTTGAAATGGATATCAGAGCATTTCCGTCACCTTCCACATGATGCATCTGATGAGACGGTTCATCATTATGCTCGAGCCTATATTTTGTGGCTTATTGGGGGGGTACTCGTCCCCGATAAGTCACAAAATATAGTCAAGATGATGTTTTTGCCACTACTTAGAGACTTTGATCGTATCCAGGAGTACAACTGGGGTGGTGCCACATTGGCATGTTTATACAGGATGTTGTGTCGGGCAACTAAGGCTGATACGAAGGAGATAGCTGGCCCACTAGTGTTGTTACAAGTGAGTTGCAATGACTTGTAGTTTTATCTCATATTCTCAATTGCCATGTTTTCTAAAGTGCCTACTGTAATAAATTAATAATGGCATCATTCATTGTAGGTTTGGGCGTGGGAGAGATTGAGCAGGATCGCCCCTAGTCAGAAGTCGAACATTGCTGCTAGCGAGCGTGCCATAGGGGAGGGCGACCAGCTGTTACCACCTGGGCCGCGAGCTTGCAGGTGGAGGGTTCCCTTCAGCCATGAGGTGATATCGACTAATGTCAGTGTTATCTTCTGGGACCAGTTCGACCTCATGGTGGAGGGGGAGGTTTGTAATTTGTTCATGTGAATTTACCCATTTTTTTGTTTGTCAACCTCCATTGTACGAATAGATCTCTAAATTATTGCATTGCTATTGCAGTTCATATGGGAGCCTTATGGGACGGAGGATGACGTCATGACCAGCTTCCCATCGTATTGAGACATATGGATGGCGCGAGTGCCACTTATATGCTTCGATATCATTGATTGGCATCTCCCCGACCGGGTGCTTAGACAATTTGGACAAGTTCAGAGTGTGCCTGATCGCTTTGACGCCCACTTGGCTATGCATTTTAGAGATAGGCGTGGCAAAATGGCCATTGATTGGGCAAAGGAATACCAAACATTTATTGGTGAGTGGAACAACCGACGCAACACCATTGTCCATGCTGAGAGGAGCAATGAAGTGCTTACATCTTCAGACCCATACATGTTATGGTTTCGCCGTCATACACGTCTAGTACTTAGTAATCCGAGTGACATTGCTGCTTTCGGATACCAAGGCATCGGGGGTACTTTAGAGGGATTGGTAAGTTATTTATATTCTCCAAAACAACATTTGCTTAAGTTTGTGTATGTTTGTTATTTGGCATTGATGGTTATGTAACACAGCTACCATTACCATTACATTACAGGTTCGTAGAGTTGCGAGGGCATATCACATGGCAGACGCTGCCCATATTACACGCGATGCTAGAGAAAAATCGGATGCCATTGACGAGATACGGGAATTATTGTACGATGGTTTGCAACAGGCACACTGACGTGACCGACTAGATTTCGGCCACTTTGGCGAGGATCCTTATATGTGGGTAGATATTACAGTGACATCAATGCCGCACCCAAATATGCCATCCACTGAGCCATCGACATCAATGCCATCGACATCAATGCCTCCACCGCATCCTACCGCACGTCATGCACATCAATCGGACTATTTCGATATGGAACACTTTGGTGAGGGGCCTTCCATGGTCCTGTCCCCTCATGGTCCATCTACAGCAATGCATACACCGCAGACTTCCCCACCTGAATGTACCAATTACACATCCCAGTTTGCCCCTGAGGTAGATCCTCTAATGTCTGAACATACTTCCACACACCATGGCCATATATTGGACCCCTCCTGGTCACCACCCCCATATAGGACAGCAGTTGGTACCCCGGTGACTCCCTTAGCACCACTGTCTACTACATGTCTGTCTACTATGATTCCCTCTGCGTCGACATTGACCGCACCCGACCCTTTCACAATACCATCATCTCCTACCCTACCATCATCTCCTATACCACATATAACCTTTACCTACCATGTTGATCCATTCATTACCCATGACTTCCACATTGACGGGGAGGGGGAGGGCCAGGTCCATGCACCTACCAGAGGGACAAGTAAGGGTAGAGGTTGTGGTGGCCGTTGTGGTGTAAGTAGAGGCCGAGGGTGAGGGCGAGGGTGACGCCAAGCAATAGACCATGACAATAATGCAGCGGATGATGGCGTTTCACAGCTTAGTGCCGTATGTGAAAGTGTGCCGGAGGTGGTATCAAATGATTGTACTGCAGCCATTGGTGATGTGCAGCCAGCTTCTATAGAAGCAGGCGAGGGACTCGTACGTGCGGCGACGCAAGATATACTGAGAGTATATAGTAAGAGACCCAGGAGACAAACCCATGGAAGGGGTTGTGGAACAGGGGGAAAATTAGGACATTAGGAACAACCAGCATTGGTAAGTATATTCAAACATTATGTTCAGGTGGTGTTTTCACGTGGATTAGTCTACATTGTTTAAGTTGTGGCTTATTATATAGTTCTGGCTTTTGGCTTATCTTATCTTGTAATTGTGGCTTATTTTATAAGATTCTAGATGCTGATGCTGCTGCTATTTTTGTTACTGTTTTGAAGGAAGGGGTAGCTGCTTGCTGTGTTGCTGGTTGCTGGTTGTTTGCTGCTTCTTCATTCAGGTTGCTGCCGACTGTGTGTTGCTACTGCTGGCTTGGATCAGTGAGCTGATAATTGGGTATGAATTTTATGGTCTTAAAATAGCTTTGGATGTGTTGCAGCTCCCCACTATTAGCTAAAGAAGTCAATGAATTGATATTTTCCTGTTCTGTGAAACAAGAGGTTATATATTTATATACATTAGTTAATTTTTTCTTCTTACAATTTACTACCCTTAATGGGTAGTCAGTTGTTTTGGTTGAAATTGAATAGCCAAGCTGTCAACCCTAAATTAATTTTTTGTGCACTTCTGGGGTCAGAGCCAGATTTCTTACATCGTGATTGTGGAATATAATTTAATATTTCATGCGTTTTTAATTGAAATATACCTTATAATGTGGGGCTTTTTGAAAATTTTTGCCATCTCTGTGCTTTTGGCGTTTTAAATGTTGTCTACCACTTAGGCCTCTTTCGGCTTCGATATCATTGTAGCCAAAAAGTCAAAAAGTCACTAAAAAAAACTAAAAACCCAACCACTAAAAAGGATCCCAACATAGTGCATTAAAGTGTTGCAAACTCTGTGATGTTTTAATCCCCACCACATTGCTTCTCAATTTTTATATATTGACATGCACTCATAGCATTTATCAAATTGTTGCCAGCCTATATTTCTTGTCATAACTCAACTCTTGTTTGCTTGATTCTGTTCATTCTAAAAAATGTTACCTATGGATTGGTTTTATTTATCCATTTTGTGAGTCCATATATAGCTGATTAGAAGTTAAGTTGCTTACCTTGTCATGGTTGATTGATGGAAAAACATATTGTCTCTGCTCTCATATAGGACGATGATGGAAATCTAGAGGCACTTAAAGTTGGTGCTGGTCAAGAAAAGCAGAATCTCTCTAAATGGTGGAAATTTAGAACTTAATTGACGTTCTGTAGTCTATATTGGTCTTGCAACATCGGTCTAGTTTGAGTATGAGAACATAACCCTGCTGCTTCTGCTTATTCTTTATCTTTGTTTTTACTTTTTGAATCTTCCCAGGTTGCATGATACTCAATTGGTTTTGTATCATTCTCAGTTTGCGTTACATATGTTTGAGCTGTAATTGTGTGAATTAATGCACAGAATTGAGTTCAGGTTGTTTTGGTTTCAGATTTTAGTCGACGTGCAATGGGTAAATCACCAGGAAAATGGATCAAAACCGTGCTTTTTGGGAAGAAATCATCCAAATCTAATTTTTCCAAAGGAAGAGAGGTACTGTGAATGTATTGGTCAATGGGCAGCTAATTTCTTGGATGGGTTGTAGCTTGAAAATGGATTGAACTTAATGAAAATGTCTATTTCTCATAACCCTTTCTACCAGTTGATACTTTTAATTTATTAGTTTTAACTTGCGTTTGCAATTGCTTCAACTCAACAAGATTTTCCACGCATATAGAAACTGTTTCCTAATATATGCTTTGCAACACTTAACGATAGGACATGACATGCCTTCTAAGGGAAGAAAATTAAAAAAACCATATCTCCTAGACTGTTGCTTTGCCAAAGAGTGGCACCATTGTTACCTAAAGGCTTTTAGAAAATTAAATTTGTAGATTGATCAAGGTCTTAATAATTGATCTAGGCTAACATTGTTCACTAGAAAATGGGCATATGAAGTTGCAAAGTTGGACATAATTTTTAAAATCTTCTCCAGAGGCTTTTAGAAGTTCAAACCATTCTGACGACATGATTTGGCAACAGATAAACCTGTGACATAACTTGGAAAAAAACACAACTCAATCAAATTAACTATAGACAGCTCATTAACTTTTGGATTTTTTGCACACCTCATAGCTGATGGTGAGGAGGTTTAAGTTTAAAAAGTAGTAAGTAATAACTAATTGTTATTATGTACCCATTTCAATTGCATATTGGTCCCTTGATCTCTTGGTTTTTCCTTTGTAGCCCTTTCGTTTCATATCTGCAGGTGACTGATTACCTCATTTTTTGGGGGTCTTTTATAGCTTCTTGCTTCATCCCCCACTGCAAAGTCTCTACGTCTACAGTATAATTCCATAGAACCAAATTCAGTCCTAAACTGGTTAGAACGCTGGTCAGCATCCCTCTTGTGGAAACCAATTCCCTCAACAAAGAAAGTTGCTGGCTCAAAATCCCAGAAGAAGAAGGTTAACCCACAAACTGTTGACCCTGAAACAGGCAGGGTAAAGCTTAGTGTCCGGAGGATTCCTTCTTTAAACCTTGACAATGTCTCGACTCAATCCACTTCTGAAACTGAGAAACCAAGACGTAACCTTCGGAAAGTCTCGAGTCATCCAGCAGATTCAGTGCAGGAACATCCGCAAAATGAGCTTGAGAAGGTCAAACGCAGTCTGAGAAAGGTTCACAACCCTAATACGGAGGGCACCATTCAGTCTGAGGCTGACAGTGAGAAGCCAAAGTATGGTCTTCAAAAGGTTTTGAGCTTTTCAGATCAAAATACTGCAGAGGAGAACATCAGTGACTCCGGTGAGAAGATAAAGAAAGGAACAACTGTCACTGTGTCCAAACTGCCTGATATAGAAGCAACTCTAGAACCACCAGTGGTGATTGAGGCAAATGATTTGTTATGTGATGATCAAACTGCAATAGAATCCCAGCCTCCAGAAAATAGTGGAAAACATGAGGGTATTCCTGTGACAAATGGAGAGTTAAGATCTAGGGAAGATATAACTGTCAATGAGAGTCAGAAATCTGCCCGGACGGCTTCTTCTGCAGCAAAGCAGGAACGTGCGAAGAATGGGGTACAAAACAGACCTGCAGTGCCAAGTTATATGGCAGCAACTGAATCTGCAAAAGCAAAACTGAAAGCACAAGGCTCGCCAAGGTTGGACCAAGATGGAATTGAGAATCAGAATCTCAGTAGGCGTCATTCTTTGCCAGCTTCAACTAACAAGAAAACAAATTCGCCGTCGCCAAGGGCACAGAGACCAATACATTCGGGTGGAAAAGGTGGAAACAAAAGTGATAGATCTATGTTGTCATCTAGAGATGGAAATGGTAAGAAATGGAAGAACTCAAAACTTAATTTATTTTTTTTAATCTTCCCATGCATAGCTATGTTCATTTCTGTTTTTTTTAAAAGTCTTTTGGAAGCATTTCTGAGGGTGCATTTGATAGAGTGAAAAATATGATGGAAAGTAAGGTGATAGAAAATTAAGTGAAAGAAATAAAGAAGGAAAATTTATTTTATAGTATGCAATTTGGTTATGATGAAATTTTTATGAGAAAGTTGAAATGGTTTGCTACTTTCACTATAAAAATAAAAAATAAAATAAAAAAATTCCTGAATTGTTTTCAAGAAACTGGAAGTTAATTTACTATGCTAATATGGATTGTACAAGAAAGATAACTTTCGTGCATTTTCCACTGCTCTCATGTGACATTAGGTAGTAGCCAATAAAGAACTTTGTTTTTGTAACCTTTCGTATCATTAATTTGTTGACAAGGAAGGGTTTGTTGATTGAGATTTGTACGTTGCATGCCTTTTTCTGAGGTTAACCTTGTTGAAGTAGTATTGCATGTCTCAATTCTAACTCACATGTTTATATACATCTTTTAATCAGGAAAACATACTTGTGAACCCCATTGGAGTTAACCCATCTGTGAAGATACCAAAGCTGTCAGCAAATGTTTTTGTTCGTGAGGTAAGTTCTGCATTGCATCATGAGTGAAGATATGTGGTTGTGATTTGTGAATGTTTCTTTCTCCTGAACTAGCCACAGAGTTATCATAAGTGTAGGTCATATAATTCAAGATAGTGGTAATTTTATTTATAATCGCTCATAGTTTTACTATACAAGTTTCTTCTTCTTCTAGCCAAAGTGCTGCATCTATAGTTTCCACCCGAGAATTTCAAGTCACGGATAAAAAATTGAAGTTAAATTTTTTGATTGATCGAGGTCTTAATAATTGATCTAGGCTAACATTGTTCGGTAGGAAATGGGCATATGAAGTTGCAAACTTAGACATAATTTTTAAAATCTTCTCCAGAGGCTTTTAGAAGTTCAAACCACCTGCTACACCCTTATTCCAATTTATTCTGTGACCAGGGATCTGGGCTTGATGGTCCTCAAAGTTCCTAGATACCCAGAAGAAATCATCATCATTCACGTCTTTATCTGGGGTATCCTTTATTATTTTTTCACACCGGCGCCTTATTCGTAAATAGTAAACCCAGCCATCTTCGGCCGATCCTATGGAGTATTGATGGAAGAGCTCGGTTAGACCGAGATTAAGGCTAGCCCGGCAGTTTAGCTCGGCAATGCCGTTTATTATGCGATAAGAATTTGTGGAAAGTTGGGTAGGGCAGAGCTTGGTTTGTCTAAGAAATTCACAAAGAAGGGGTTGTACAGGGAATTGTAGACTGCACTCTACGATGAAAATAACGTTAAAAGGGACAAAGCCTTGTTTTCCCCAGGGAATGATGTCTAGTTCATGACATCTGACCTTTTCTCTTCCTCCAAATTTTCTTTCCACTGCAGGGTTGATGCTATCATCCATTTTGCTGGATTAAAAGCAGTTGGTGAAAGTGTGCAGAAACCGTTGGTGTATTATAATAATAACCTTATTGGCACAACCACTTTGTTGGAAGTTATGGCTGCCCATGGATGCAAAAGGGTATTTTTCGTGTGTTTTATTTTCATATTAGAGTTCACATTACATAGGTTCTAGTCTGATTTACTAGATGTAGATATTGATCCGCAAATAAACATTCCATCTCAGAAAGTTTGTTTCATTTTATGGCTTTGGGGCTTGACTATATTGTTTAACTGCATCTCTCTTCTCCTTCATGTTGTCACATGATTGTCAGTTTCTAGTTTGCCTCCCTCTTTGGTGAATGTGATGCAGTCTAACTGGTCACTAGCATAAATCAACTAGTTATTTAGAAAGTATTTCTGCCCCAGGGACCGTTCGTCATTCCCTTTGCTTCCACTGTAGGTAAAGAATGGACATTTTGCTCATTTCAGAGCAATAAGTAAAACTATTAAATTTTCTTTAAGGGTATTTGGGGACTTAAGTATATGTATTTTGGACCAGGTCTGGTACTGCTCTGGCTTAAGTAGAACTATTATAGTGCTGGAATTTGGTTACATTGTATGTATTGTAGAGCAAGTCTGGTACTTCTCTGGCTTTAATAAGAACAATTGTAGTGCTGGAATTTGTTCCTTCACAGCCTTTATAAGCTAAATAAACCATACCAAACTAAACCTTGTGTCCCAATCAAGTCGGGTTGCTTTAGTTAATTCGTTTTTTTCACTATTCTGCTATGTCAAATGAGTATATAAGCTTAATATGTTTGTTAATTACTATATAAGCATAATATGTTGTTAATTACTATATAAGCTGAATAAACCATACAAAACTAAACCTTGTATCTCAATCAAGTTGGGTTGCTTTAGTTTATTCTTCTGCTGCTGAATTGTTTCTAAATCCGAATGATTACGGAAATAGAAAGAAAGAAAATCAAAAAAAAAAAAAAAGAGTTGCAGCTCCTTAGTATTATAGAATTGAAATTTCATAAAAATTATTGGAATTTTGTCTTTTACTGTAAAGGTAAACCATTTGGTTTGTCAGCTTGTTCTAGTGGGATAGTTCTGTATGTTTCCCTGATATTTAGAATGTTAAAGATATTCAGGCCTTAACATTGTTCCATCCATATATTTGCTATTTTGGTTTCAATGACATTTTTTTTTATTTTCCCCGGTTGATTTAAGGCACACTATCCATTTATTTACTTTTCCAGTTTCGATCAAATGTTCTTTGTTTCCTGGTTGAATTAATCCATTCATACTATTTTCAATTGTTCATCTTTGCATCACTGGGAAACATCAATTTATTTAGTGTGATCATTAAAGCAAACTCATTACCTATGTGAGTAGGGATGTAATATATATTTTTTAAACTATATGTCAAACAAAAGCCCTCCATTACCAGGTTTCTAAGTATTTCTTATTTAAGTGCAGGACTATTTTAGCACTTTAGCTATGATCATTGATTAAATAAACTAACAGGACTACGTTCTGACTGTTTCGCTAACAAATAAGGTGTCTAATTCTATGCTGGTAATATTATTTTTCAGTCTTGAGATTTCTTCATGTTGTGATTTAATTTTATCAGCTTATTTCAATTTGGGTGAGTTGACTAAAGTTGTTCCCATGATAAACTGCTGCATTTCAGCTTGTGTTTTCATCATCCGCTACAGTTTATGGTTGGCCAAAGGTGGTACCGTGCACAGAGGAGTTTCCCCTCTCTGCAGCAAACCCTTATGGAGGAACCAAGGTATATTTTGAGCAATGATATCATGCACATGAACTGAGAGCTTGGTTACCAAAGAAACTGATATATTTTGAGCAATGATATCATGCACATGCTGTGATACCCACCTCTCGGACACCAAATGGAAAATCATATTGCTGTGATACTTCAATCCTGTTGGTGCACATCCTAATGGTTATATTGGTGAGGATCCTCATGGTATACCAAACAATCTCATGCCGTATGTGCAACAAGTTGCTGTTATTAATTTTTGTTTATGGAGAACATGTCCACCTGATATGTTTTGTTAAAACATATATTTTTTTTTTGTTTTAGTTTGAATTGTAATTGTTGGTTCGGATAGTATATGTATATGTTAGATTATACTATATTTATGGATTCTTATTTTCTTTGATATGTACGGTTAATAGTTAAGTTGTGTATATGGTTGAAAATTGAATGTTACAGGTTGTGGAGAAATATTTTTATTGAATGGTTGAGAATTGAATGAATGAATGGATGGATGAATAATTTTGTATATGCACAAGTTACAGGTGAGAAATAATTGAATGAAATAATTTTGAATGAATAATTGAATGAAATAATTTTGTATATGCACAAGTTACAGGTGAGAAATAATTTTGGATGAATAATTGAATGAATGAATGGTTGTGGAGAAATAATTTTGTTAATGTGGTTCTTATATGAATTCACCTTGTGTAGGTTCTACTTACTACCACAATGATTCTGCCTTGCCTATGACCACATTGGCCCTGACAGATAATTGTTTGAAGGGAACGGCCATATGTCAAATTTTAGGGTTTAATGTTAAGGGCTGGTGTGGACAGCTTGTGGTTTCACCATCTCAATGCCTGATATTTCCTGCTCCTAAGCCTTTCTTTTGTTGTAAGTATGACTATATACTTCAGTTAGCTTTTTCTTCACGGCTGGCAACCAAGTTTCAAATTTATTTTGCATTTCTTCTCAGGTGTTGTCCCTGCATTTGTTCCCATTTTTGCCCCTCAAGATGTCGACACATTTGATGCTGAAGCACCAAACATTGCAATGCCGAGTCTGTCATCTGCTCAATCTAACAAATCATCTTTGCTTACTCCTCTTGGTCAGCCTTTAGGTTCTTCTCTTTCGGGGCCATCAGGTCTCAGCCCTCCCCCCAAAATTTTACAAGGAAACATCATGACAAATTCAATTGTTGAGGTATTCAAGCAGGCTGCAGTGCGCCTTCAGGATGATCTTCTCAATGTTTTGAAGTCCAAGGATTTTCATGATCATGAGTCTATGATCCTAGAGGCCTATTTCATTTTTTGTGCTCTAGATGCTCTGTTTGTTGATTCTCAACCCTTTAAAGAACAAGTGGCGGAATTTATTGGTTGTGCAGCATCACTTGCTGAAGTAGAATTTTCTATTAACAATTTTATGTATAATGATAAAGACTTGTTCCTTTCTTTATGGTTGCACCTCTTATTTATCTTGAGCTCTTTTATTCTGGTTTTTATGTTAAACAGTGACTTTCAAATCCCTTGTAAGACCAATCCAATCCAATATTTGTAAGACCAATCCAATCCAATCCGATCTCTCATTTCCAATTCCAAATTCAAACTTTTTTTGAATTCTCAGATCATTTTCACCAGGAATTACAAGAGGAAGAGGAAATCAGCCTTCAGAAAACATTGCTATATATAGCACATGTAATTTGAAGTATGATTTAATAGGGTTTTGGTTTTGAGTAGTTGTTGTTGTTAAGGGTAGCTTATATTTTATTGAACTAGTAGGGTTAAGTGTGTTGGATTGAAGAAGTTTTGTTAGGCTGAATAGAGAAAATTAGGGTTACGGTTTATGATGGAAGATTGATTGATAATGGTGCGGCTGTTGGGATTGACTGGGCAATTTCCTTGTTTGGGGCATTTTGAATATTTTAGTCCGACTTATAGGTTGTGTTTTCTACTTTATTCCCAATATAGGGTGAAACGGGTTTACCAAAACCGTTTTCATTAAAACTTTCTAAGCAAAACCGTTTTTGATAGCTCAGTCAAAAAGCTTACCTTAATTGGGGGTCCTAAAATAGTGACCTGTACGTAAAGAATTTCAATCACCATCAGGAAAGAATAAAGAGTCACCTTCTAATTCCTGGAAGTCAAGTGAAAATGATGACTCTAGTAAGGAATGAGGGGGGTTGACAGAAAACTAAACTTGGGGGCTGGACAATCAACCTCAAAGCCAAGTGGTTGGTTCAATTGGAGGACTACTGAAGTTCAGACAGACGAACTACTGCTTTCAACAACACAGAAAACAGAACATGTAGGTCAGTCAAAAGCTTCCCTTAACTGGGGCTCCTCAAATAGTAACCTCTACGTAAAGAATTTCAATCTCCATCAGGAAAGAAGAAAGAGTCACCTTCCAATTCCTGGAAGTCCAGTCAAAATGATGACTCTAGTGAGGAATGGGAGGGGTCGACAGAAAACTAAACTTGGGGTGAACCTGAAGTTTATGAAATCACTACAGTTATAAGTACACAAATCCATTCATTGAAGTATTTGTAGAATTACTTGAACTATTCAAAAACAATTGACATATCTCCCTTCATTGATAAGTCGTGGATAAGCATTACAAATCCATTACAACATAAATGGTTTGGTCATTCATTCAAACAATTTCATTCATTATCATCATCATCTGACATCGCAATATCAGATTCATACATAACATCCATGCTCCAGGCGAAGTACTGGTGTGCATCATCCATTAACCCATCTGCAGCACGCTCATTTGCGGTCTTCATTAGTGAGGACCTTTGCAACCGTTGGGTCATGCGATTAACTTCGTCGCGGATACGATGCAATGCCCTTTGCAACAACTATGGAGTGTCAGTTGGCATACGCATGGCTAACCGGCGAGGAAAT